TTTGGGAATTGCTTGAATCATTCCTATAATGTTGCACCATATAGAATACAGGGACTATTTCTGATAGATCTTCTTTTCCACAAAAGGAGTCACAACAACATCATCTCCAAATGCTTTCTTTTGGCTGAATGTGGGCCACAGCGCTCCTTTATGCTGAGATTGCCAGTCCTCACCAAGGGTCTCAACTGCTTTGGCATCAACTGTGCTATTTTTCATTGAATTCATGCTCTCCTCAGAGCACATTTCCTTCTCTACTTTTCCTCATCTAAACATAAAGAATTGAGTCTACAGGGTTTGATATCTGGGTCTCTGTCTCTAACTTCTCTTCAGACTTACAGACCAATTGATAGGACATTTTTGTAGAAGTCAGACCTGTAAGAAATATTGTCACAGAAAGTATTTGTTTCATCCAAAACTATACACTCAATCTGTGTGCACTATGATAGGTGATGCACATAATTTTGGTGCGATTGGGTGACATGAGAACTATTGTTGTCTAAGTGTGCCTTGAAAATCCTCCTTCTGTACGGAGTGGAGATCCAAAGCCCATCAGTAGGCCACTGGAGATCCCCTTGCGGAGGGGTCTCGGGGAGGAGATGAGCCAGTCAGGGTGCGATGTAGCAATGATGAGAAATACAACTTTCCTCTAGTTCCTAAATGTTTCCTCCCCGATCCCACTACCATGACTCGAATTCTATCTTGCAAGTCTGGCTAGACCAGAGGAGGTACACTGGTATAGATAGGAACTGAAAATACAGGGAATCCAGGATGGATGAGCCCTATAGGACCAGTGGTGTGAGTGGCAAAACAGGGAGGGTAAAGGGAGAAGGGGTAGGAAAGAGGGAACCGATTACATGGAACTGTGTGTGACCTCCTCCCTGGGGGACAGACAACTGAAAAGTGGATGAAGGGAGACGTCGGACAGGGCAAGAAATGACAAAATACCCATTTATAAACTATCAAGGGCTCATGCGGGAGGGGGGAGTGGGGAGGGAGGGGAAAATGAGGACCTAATGTCGGGGGTTTAAATGGAGAGAAAATGTTTTGAGAAACGATGTACAAATGCGCTTTACACAATTGATGTGTGTATGGATTGGGATAACAGTTGTATGAGCCCCTAATAAAATGTTAAAAAAAAAAAAAGAAAGAAAATCCTCCTTCTACCATCCCATAAAAACAATATTTAAACTACTTACTATTTCTACTTCTATTCCATTTTAAAGGCTGCAAATTCTAAACTAGTGTATGCAAGGAAGTGGGCAGCACCATGGTTCCATCATCCTGCTGTCTATCTGGAAGTCAGTGGCCTGAGTCACCATTTGCTACATGAAAGAAAGAGAGGGCACTTTGCTTCTGTAAAGATTAAAGCACAAAACCCATCGAGTCAGTTTGCACGCACAGGGTTTCCGAGGCATCCACTTTTATGGAAGCAGACAGCCTCATCGTTCTCGCATAGAGCTTCTGTTGGGTTTTGAACCCGCTGACCTTGCAGTTGGCAGTCTAATGGTTTACTCAGTCGTGCCATCCCGGGAACAACCTTGAAAGTTACGTAGGTCTGCTCTTTTCTGTGCTGTCTACTTGCAATCAACGGGAACCCTCTCCACAGCAATGGGTGTGATTCGGGATCTTTGCTGCTGTTCAAAGGTAGCATAATAAACATAAACAGGTATGCATCATCTGGGAGCCCTCATGGTGTAGAGGGCTACACATTAGGCTGCTAACCATGAAGTTGAAAGCTACCTATAGTATAGCTCTTTGGGAGAAAGATGAGGCTTAATGTCTCGGTAACCCACAGGGGCAGTTCTTCGCTGTCCTTTAGGGTCACTATTAGTTGAAGTTGTAATTAGTGAGTGAGTGAGTGAGTGATGGATGCATCATCATTTAGGTGGCTGGATGGTGTAGTGGGTTTTGTGTTGGATTGCTAACAACAAGGTCAGCAGTTTGAAACCACCAGCCACTATGTGGAGATAGATAATGCTTTCTACTCCTACAAAGATTTAGTTTTGGAACCCCACAGGGACAGTTCTCCTCTGTCTTATGGGGTTTCTATGAAGCAAAACGAGCTCAATAGCAGTAAGTTTGAGGTTTTTTTTAATGCATTACTTTATATACGTTTGACCAATATTTGACCATATCTTGTATCCAGTCTCAAAAGGTTATAATGGAGATAGAGAACAGGGGGGAGTAGATGAACTTTGCTAAGTGCCGGGAGCCAGTCTGTCTCTCATTAGCTCTCCAGGTCCCTCAGCTGACCCAGCCCCAGAGGGGTGGGGGGAGTGAGTCCGGGCACCCATCCACGGCTGCCTGTCCCACTGGGATCACTTCAGGCAGCCACTGTGCAGGCACCACAACCAAAGCTGCTGCAGGGACTGTCCCACTCAGCCTGGGTAGCCTGCTCGTGAGGTTTGGGCCCAATGCCACACTCCTCTCACAGGGAGGCACCCTAGGACGCTGGACCCTGGAAGCAGCAGGAAAGACAGCCCAGGAGGGGGAGGCAGAGGAGGGGTGGCAGGGCTGCGTGGGTGGCTGGGAAGGCAGGCGTGCAGGGAGGAAGGAAGAGAAAGAAGCCGGTGGAGAGTGGAGTGGCAGAGGTCAGGCACCGCTCTCATGGACCAGGCGTGGCCCCGCAGGACCAGTGTAGCACAGCCTAAGTTTTGTGCAGTCCCCTTAGCGGGCTGCTCGTGATTAACCTGTGTGTCTGTCACCTGCATATAATGTGATCTTCACACACTATCCAGATCACACAATATCCTATTTCACAGACTATACTGTGGACAGTAAGCAACAAATATCTATTAGTATAATCAAGTCAATTCTGACTCATGGTAATCCCATGTGTGCCAAGTGAAATGGCCCCATCAGGGTGTCTGGCTGAGACTTCCCAAAGTAAATGACAAGGCTTGTCTTTTAAGGGGCCTCGGAGGGTGGGTTTAAACTTCCGAGTGGATGAGTACTTCATATTTACATCAATCAATCAATCAATAAACAAACATTAACATCAATCAGGGACACACATACACATACTCATATATAGATACATACATATGCAGCCATGTGTGTATGTGTATATGTATATATATAATAATTTTCTAATTCAAATAAACCATTGGGGAAAAATTATAAATCCTAAATTGTATAGTAACACTTTTCTGTAAGAACAATAATAAGGTCTTCTAAAATGACTTACTTCCAGTTATACATTAACATACACATTGTGATAAAAGAGCTTAAAACAATCTATGCATACTTTAGAGTCAAAAGTATATTAACTCCATATTCAAAATCACCAGGGTACACTTGAGTTAGATACTTTGTAACCTCAAGAGGACACTGTTTACATACACCAAGAACGTTTTTGTTGATAGTCATGCCTGTATCAAAATAGCAAATGTAAAAGATGAAGGGAGGGAAGGAAGGAGGGAGGAAAGGAGAGAGAGCGAGCGAGAGAGCAAAGCAGTTTCTAAGATCAATTACTCTTTAAGAGGTTCCGACTAAGCTACAAGTCCTGTGGCTCATCTCGGCAACAGCAGAGGCACCACTGCTCAACCACGACACCCTCAAAGCTACACGATGAATAGCGCAGTGACCGCTGCTCTTCCAGGACAGAAGACATGGGCGGAAACTTATCTTAAATGGAGCTGACTTCCAACAGCCTTGAAACCCCTTTATCCTGCTAATTTCTGTAAAGACAAGAGTGAAACTACTGCCACAGCCTCCTCCTGTCTTGCTTTATCTACTGCAAAGGTTCTCAAGTCTGCTGTCTCTGACCGTCACTGTGCGGCTCAGAGCTTTGCAGTGCCTAGACCCCTCGCCCAGGACCGCGGCAACTGTTCGGAGGTGGCCTTGGGGCACCAGGGTTTCTTGGAAGTTCACTGTGATTTCAAGGTCCACCCAGGGTTGTGAATCAAGGACTTCCTTCCAGGGCTATTGGCCTGGTTTCCATGCCTTCTGTCTTGTCCTCCTGTGGCATCCTCTACTGACACTGACAGAATGATCTTCCTCTAATACTTACAGAACTGAATGTGAATTTCTGAGCACTGTGTGAATGACTGAACATGACCCACTCTATCTACCTAAAGAGCTTCCTCTGCTCTCTCTACACAGCCTGGTTAGAGCATGCCGTGACCCCGGCCGCTGGGCCTGGACACTTACTTCCCTCATGGTGCGAAACACTCTTCGCTGTTTCTCTCTCTGCTCTACCAGTCTCTCCCATACCCGTTCCCCAACCCTCCTTGAGCATTGCCAAAGCACTCTGTGTGCGAGTATTATTTTCATTAATCATATTGAACTCCATGCTAGAGGATGTTCCTCACCTTAGTGAGACCTTTTCTGTGCACCTCCAAACCCCCAACCAAAAACCAGTGCCATGGAATCAACTACGACTCACAGTGATCCTGCGGTGTTTCTGAGGCTGTCAGTCTTTATAGGAACAGAGAGCTTTCTCTTTCTCCTGTGGACTGGTTGGTGGCTTTGAATTGCCATCCCTGTGGCTAGCAGCTGAACACATCATGCGCTGTGCAGCAGGTCTCCTTCCCAACTTAGGGTATTGCCTAGCATATGCTACATTTATATTTGTTCAATAGAGGAATGAATTGCATCTTTAAACTTTTCACTAGTTCAAACAGGCACAGGGGTGACACATTCAGTTATCTAAAAAGAGTTAACCTTACACTAAAAGAAAGAGAAACACACACACACAGACGATAGAGCCTTCGTATTTATCTAGCATCTAGTAATAATAATGATGAACGTATAGATTTTCAATTGAGCTATTAAATTAATAGTCTGCATGGTTAAAGTCAACGAGAAAGCTTTAAGTCCTTCAGGATACTCTCTCTAGTTAGTCGCCCAAACCATACTTACTCATAATCTTAGCCAATGTATACTCACCTTAGGCTCCGGTAAGGGGAGGAAGCCCATTTACTGCCCACCACAAGATGGCCTAATTTGGCTGCTCCCGTCCTGGCCATTTAACCTACAGCTCTGGTGAACATGCTTACTTTGTATTTGCTTTCTGATCTGGAAGGGGTGGGCATATGTCCTTTTCGCTTGAAGGTTGTAAAGTGCTTGCACTGAGGACATGGCTTGGTGCTGGAATCAATGCGGCCGAGTTCCAAGAAGTACTTATATTTGATGGAGTCTTCGTGCGTTAAGTTGTAGACAACCGTTGTTTCTTCCAGGAATTCAAAACACTCCGTGATAGGGCATTTGATGTCTACCTGGCCAAGTTGTACCTGCATGAAAGAGCAGATGGAAGAATGAGAGAAAGGAAGAAAAAAGGTCACTGCTTTTATGACTTTTACTTAGTTTTTACAGTTGTTATTTCTTATTTCACGATTACAGTAAAGGATCATTTGACCACCTGCCCCCTAAGATTCCTAAAATAAACAAATAGCAACTATTCTGGTATCATAATAATTTATCACTATACTTTCAAAATAATTGATAGAGCATTAAGGCCTTTTCTGATCATTATATGTGTGTACTTAAAGGGACTTAAGCCACAAGCTCACCGGAGAAATAAATTACCATTTTATATTTCTAGACACTGCAAGATGAGACACTACTGAGACAGCCTACCAACTATAGGAACAGTTAATTTTCAAACTTACAAAACATTACAAAACAGCCTCTCAGCACTAAATCTGGGGTACCTTTTACCTCTTTAAATACACACAGATGCGTGTGCGTGTGTATATACATATATGTAGTGAGTTACTCTTTGGGCTGGTAACCACAAGGTCAGCAGATTGACGCCACCAGTTGCTTGCCAAGAAAAAGATGAGGCTTTCTACTCCCTTCAGAGTTCCAGTCACAGGAACCCACAGGGGTCGTTCCAGTCTGTCCTACCGGGCTGTGATGAGTCAGACCTGACTTGCTGGCAGTGAGGAATGTCACACGGAGAGGCAGGGAAAACCACCAGTGGCAAATAATCACAACTCCTTTCTTATTCCCTGGAGCGAGTCTAACATTTGAAGAAGAGAAAAGAACACTGCGAAGACTGAGGCAGGAATGAGAAAAAAGATCTTTGGGAAAAGAGAAACATCACCATGAAGGACAGCAAAAAGAATAAACTGAACTCATACTAAGTTTTGTATTAACTTAGGTCTTTATCAGACACAAGGTTTTGAAAATGCAAAAAAGCTACAGGCTGGTGTTTAACACCAAAATACATGCTCTGATAATCAACTAAAAGAATCTGGCTTGTCATAATCAACGTCCCTATTAACATGTCCTTGTTCAAAGTAAAAATGGCTACACCTCTTTATGCGGCGGTTTGACAGAATGTGACACAGGATTTTCAAATCTTTGCCTATGTTTTCTACTTTTGATGAGGCTGCTTACTGATTTTGATGAATCTGCTTACAGATTTCATCGATTCATCAGTTAGTGTTATGATAATGCTACAACTCAAATTATATTTCTATATTATGTTAGTTATAGCCCGACAGAAATGATCAGTTTTTAAAAGTATTTATTCTCAAAACCATGTATAACATAATAAGGAACTGGCTTAGTGAAGCATAAAACTTAAAACAATTAAAAATTAATACACATTTGATCTTTCACCATTCTGCCCACAGTTACCCAGCGTGGCTCTGAGCCAGGTGATGCGTTAGACAGCAAAGCGTCCTGCGTCTGTCCGTAGGAGGCCATCATGACGCACGGCTGTGAGCACCCTCGACCGAGTAAGAGCAGGAGGTCAGCAGAACACAGGGGGGAGGCCCAGTAAGGCCCAATTCAAGACGTTCTTAGAAGTTAAGGTTCAACTGAGAGCTTAGATGATGAGGACTTTGTCAAACGAGACAGAAAAGATTCTAAGCAAACAGATATGGCAACATGGGCAAAGGCCTAAAGGCAAGCGTGCTCTAGAACAAAGGTATCCACATTTTTCTCATAGCCCAAATAGATTAATTTGCTTACAGACACCCTTGAGTACATATACTGTTATTGAAAGATCCCAGACTTCAAAGAACTATGAGTAGTCCGACTCTATTCGTAAAGAAAAATGCTACGTGTACATGTACAGAAACCACAGCATGAGGGTGCGCCACAAAGTCATTGTAGGAGTCTGGCTGCTCCTCCCCAGGCAAACAGAAAACTATCCCATTTAAAGTACATGACTGACCATTAATTTCATTCCTGATAAAAGGGACTCTTGTTTATTGTGCGGCAACACAAGAGGTTGAATTTATGACTCCCAGCCGTTGGAATCCAGCCTTGTTCACCTAGGAGTTTATTTATCTCATCTAGATAAATGATCATCAGAGGGAGCAGTCTCACAACCTCCCGGGAATAGTTCAGACGTAGGAAGAATGGACTGTAGTTTAGGGACTAGAACAGCGGTTCTCAACCTGAGGGTCATGACCCCTTTTGGGGGGTGGGGGGTGGAACAACCCTTTCACAGGGGTTGCCCGATTCATAACAGAAGCAAAATGACAGTCATGAAGTAGCAATGAAAGTAATTTTATGGTTGGGGTCGCCACAACATGCGGAGCTGTATTAAGGAAGGTTGAGAACCACTGGACTAGAACAACCCAAGGCAACCCAAGAGGGCAGGTATTGTATGACCCGTTAGGAGTGGGGGTTCATCACACCACCACATTGGGATACTACCCAATCAACGTCCATCCCAATGCCTTGTCCAATTCAGGGGTTTTCAGCTTTGCCTGAAATCCGATTCCTTCTACACAGAACACACAACTTCCTCGTTTTCATGCTTCCTGCATTGACTATTCCATAGATTCTTTCTAAAAGTTCAAGTACTCCCTCCCCCCAACATTCTGAGCCAATGACCTCATATTTTACTGAAACAAACATGCACGCACGCACGCACGCACACACCAAAACATAGGAACAACAAGATTCATATTACCCCATGTCTGTCTGTCCCTACCATCTCTTCTTTTCACAGTATAGGATCTGAATCTACTTCCAGGACCACTTTAAAATTGTCTCTAAAAATGTTCCTTGAAAATTTGAATTTTCTGGCCCATTCAAAACTTATAACATTTCAATCTCTGGCGGTAGGCCAGTCATTGGCAGTTTGGAACAAGTACTCACAGGCATTTCAGTTACTCATATTCTTTAGATTAATACCCCCTTTTTTGTAATATAGAATACTCTCATCCTCTGCGTCTTTCTTTTTTAGAATAATTTCTTCATAAGATCACTAGCAACAAGTAAACATGACTAAGTGAAGTATATTTATTCAACAAAGATATATTATTTCAAAAATATTTTAAAAAATATCTTAATATCACAAAAGTTAAGACTCTTTTGTCCTTATTAATTTAGCATTTTAACATTTTAGCAACCTGCAATGGTTGTACTTTCTGGATGGCACATAATAGTACATCCTACCAATACCATGACTTAAATGTAAATGAATGTGCTTTCTATGGCTCTGAGACGGACTTTGGAGAGATGAAAGGAGAAACACCAGGTATCGGTTGAGGGAAATGGACGATAAATAAGGAAGCAATAAGAAGCATGACAGAACATAACCAGTGAAGTGAAGAAACTCACAGACAGCAGAGGAACATTTGAGCTGAAAACTAAAAAGGGCCTGTCATGAAGAGAACTTGGGGAGAGTGCAGGCGGAAGAAACACACCAAGGACAATGGGCCTGCGGCAGAAAGTGCCCACTGTGCCTGGGTTCAAAGCACAGAGCTGAGCGAATGAAACATATCCTGGGTGAGGGAAAGAGCAGAGAGCGATGGAGGCGGAAAGCCAGCAGGAGTCAGCGAACTCTGGGCCTGACTGGCCATGACAGGAAGTTTGGACTGTATTCTAATGTCAATATGACTCACTGACTGCGCTTACACCCTAGTGTAAAATTTAAAAGGTACCAGTTAGGGTCTGGCGAAGGAGTGCAGGGGGCACTTTGGAATTGCGATCCCTCTTCCTGTTAGCAGCATCCAAGGGCAGCAAATGATGACAGAGGAATGGACGAGCAAGAGGTGATCTGGTACACGGTGTATTTTGGAAGTGGTCCCAATGAGATTGGTGATGAACTAGATATAAGGGTAAATGAAAGACAACGCTATGCTTTTTTACGCTAAATGATATGATTGGAAAATGTTCATTACTCAGAAATTTCTAATAAAATACAGTGTATGTGAATATTTTATAGTTGCTGGAATGATTTTCTACAGCTTTCACAGTAACAAGAATAGAATATATATATTCATATATATAAATGGTCTATTTCCTCTCTCTTTATGTAGATATATATAGTTATATACATGAGTTTATACACATTGCAGGGAAGTGTGTGTGTGTGTGTGTAGTAATATAAAAGATCTAGGAAATAAACATGATTCTTGCCTTCAAAGATATGAAGAGTCTAACATTAAATCAATACTAATAGCCTTGTCAACTAACGTGGGATGTCCTGATACTAGTTTATTTAATATTTACTCAAGAAATGGTTTACATTTTTTATTCTGGATAATTTTAAACATGATCAAAAGTTGGCAGCTGGGATTATGAAGAACCTTTAATCACCACTCTGGCCTCAACAGTTAGCAGCTCACGGGCAATCTTGTTTCCTTTCAGCCCTGAGACGACACACATCATGTCCATTCATGTCTCCATGTTTCTACATGGTTCTCTTTTTTAAGTCTTTTTGAAAGACTCATGGTGCCATATAATATTTCCCCCAAAATTATTTAACATCAAATTAGCATTTAAAAAAATGTTTTCTAACTTCTGTTTATAAGATTATATGTAATTAACCCTAAAACAAGTGCACTTATACTTAAAACAATGGTATTTTTTCATTTCTGTGTGTTCAATCCTGTGCTATCAAATGTATCCCCAAGAAAGAAATACACTCGCTGACTCTTCTCAATAAAAAAACATGTCCATCCTTGTAAAAGAAATTACTTAACTCTAAAACAATCTCCAAGGGTGTCAGTACGAGACGTTATTATGCACTTAATGCTCAAACTGCACGGCTAATTTCCCACCTGGGAGAACTGAATGCAAAAGCAATTTAGTGACTCAGGCAAGGGGAGCTCTAGAGAAGTGGCAGATTAGCTAATTAAATCCTTAAAGGAGAAAGCATAGACCTTGGGTCTCAAAACTCAGTGTTATCCATGGCATGGTTTTTTATTTTGATCTTGCCTTTAAGTGTTGATGTTCAGTATCTACCTTTAAATGTCAAATGCTTAAGTTTAAGTGCTTTAAAGGATGTCTTGGCAGTTTTGCTTATTAGATACCAAGAGAC